ATGGCTGGGAAAAAATCCTCAAACACAATTCCGCTTTGTGTTGCCATTATTTTTCTTTCTTCCTTTTATGTGATTTGAGAAAGAAATGACATTGCAATGGCACATGGAAAGATGAGTAGACCTTGAAGAGATATTTATAGTTCTTTTATTATGTGAAACGAGAACAATAAACGGGTGAGGACCAAAATTATTAAGGAAAAACAAGTGTTAGAGGAAGGATTGTAAATGACAAGGAAGGTACAACCTTACAAGGTAAGAGGAAATTGGTATAGAAGGTTGTTGTTGCCGGCATTTTGCTGCCTGTAAGTCCTGGCCATTTCTGTCCCCAAATTGTTCTCCTTCCTCGAAGTTGCACGGGAAGTACCGTATATTTTTTGGTCATGGCAAGCATTTTCTTGTCATTTGATAATATATTTTTACTACCTGGCGTGAACTTCCAAAAAATTACACACCCAGTACCCTGTTTGGTGCTCCTTTAAAGAGGAAACTAAAGTTGGTCAGAATCTCTCTGGAACGTATGTAAGATGTTGATCTTATTGGTTTGGCATGTCAAATTTAGAGAATGGTAAAGGCAAGAAAAAACAGAAGAAAGAGAGAAAGGAAATAAAGATGATATTTCTGATTTCATCATGTAGTTGAAGTTTGTCATCTTATGGTTGTAATGTCTACAAGGCCAAATGCCTCCAAGTTATCTTTAAATCAAGTTGAATTAAAAATATAAACTGTTAGCAAGAAAAAAAAATAATTGAAATTTAAAATCATATTTTATTTTTTGAAATTACATAAATTATAAAATTTTACTTTATAATTTTAGTTTTTGTTAATTTGTTTAATTTGTTTATCAACAAAGATAATTAATTTTATTTTAATGAAAATGAAAGTAATAAATTTTTGTTTTTATTTTGATAGTCATAATTTGAATCAATCAATTCAATCAAATTTGTGTAGCTAGTCTGTTAAAATAATTAATTATTATTTAATTATGGATCCAAAAATTCTTACGATATCAATTGTAAAACTTAAAATTACTTTTGAAATTTGTTAAAATTTTTTATATTTTTCTATTAAAAGTTGGAAGTCTTCGTTATATATATATATACACACACACACACACACGATTGTGTGTGTGTGTGTGTTGCAAAACTATTTCAGTTTTTGGAAACTTGTATTAAGTCTCATATGAGATAATTGTTATTGAAGGAAATTACTTCAGAATAAATAAAGAAGGTAATATCAAATGTTACCAGCAAGTCCAAAACAAAACAGATATCAAAATAAGAAGAAACCTTTTAAAATCATAAAATGAAAACAAAGAAGTTACGATACTGTAGAATCCTTTACTTTTTATTATTTTATTTTATATGATGTTAAGTGCGATATTTTTGTTATTTTACTATTTAATACGAATAATTTATCCTTAACATTAATAATTTAGTATAAAACAGATAGTTTCTAAATATTTTTCTTATCATTTGCGTCAAGAACCATTTATTTGCTGCAAGTTGTTGCGGGAGAACATCAGCTTAGATTTGCCTCTTATGGTGCTTATTTTGTACACACGACGGAGAGTTGAAGGAAGTTTGAGTTTTTCTTTGCTTTTTAAGGCTAAAATGACAGGGAGTTGATGTGGATAAAAAATTAAACATGTATTTCTCATTGCATGGGTGAATGACATATCATTTTTCTTTTTAGATGTTTCTTTTCTCACTTTATGGCTGATTTTGATTGAAGCGACTAACAAGTAAGAAGGAGATGATCCTTGCATCAAGTGAATAACTTTTTCATATCTGGCTCCAATTTCTCCTACTTCCTAGTTCGATTTCTATGCTTGTTCAAACAAAATACTAGAAATTAATGTTTCCATTTAAAAAAAAACACCACACTTAGTATTTTTTTTTCTTTTCTATATTTTTATTTGTCACGGATTTAGCTTAGTTCAAAGAATTAGGGTTTATAGAATAAGACAAAAGTTAATATTTAGTAGTCTTGATTTTTTATTATCATCTTATATGAGTTGTTTTATATAAAATAATAGAAGTCTAATAATGAAGAATAAATAAGAAAACAATTTTAAAATTAAAAAGTTTTTTATAGGAGATATAGGCGCAACTAATTTCCATATAGTTTATTTTTTTATTAGTTTTTTTCATTTCAATTTTTTCAAAAGTTTAATTATTTTTCATATTTTTATTATTTTATTTGGGTAGGACAAACACTTTTCAATTTTTTTAAAATAAGAATTAATACCCTCGTTATAACTGCATATTAAACTCTTAATTTTTTTGTTATTAATGAGAATTGATACCACAAGAGTTAATGGTTCGTGGTCAAATTTTTTTCTAGTTTATCTTTAAAGTCTCATTGTCTTACATTAATATACATCTGTTGTACTTAATAGTAGTTATTTTACTTAACTTTGTAGTTTATTAAAATAATCATAAATAAGAAATCAAAAAAATTTTGTTGGTTTCATATAAAATTGGAGACTAGTTGTGCTTTGTTCTACATGTGCGTTCTTTAATACAATAATTATTGTTAATCTATTTTGCTAATAGTAATATATTAAAAACTCTAGTTGTTCTGCTTAGTACTAAACAATGAAATGTAATAGATTTCAGTATTAGGAGCCTTAGTTAATGGATGGAAGCTTCCTCCTTCACAAATCTCTTCAGTAAAAAAGTGTATGATTCTAACGATTTATGTCACTGCAAAGGCATAGACGTTTATTAATGTATAAAAATTATTTACCACTTAATTTATAGTTGAAAGAGTTTAACAGAAAAGAAATATCTTTACAAAACCTTCAAACTTAGACAAAAAATTTATCATGATCAACTAACTCTTCTATTTTTTCTAATTAGGCATTTAGTGTTTGATCATCCATTTCGTCGTTGGTTATAAAAATTTGCAATTGCAAAAGGCAAATTTGGTTGCTATGGGAAAGAGACAAATGTAGATTAATATGTTAAAATTAATATAAAATTGATAAAGATATCTCAATTTATAAAAAAATCAGTTTTTTTTTTAAATACTATACCGTTAATATAATTTTATCTTTTATAATATACAAACGAGAAATTTTTAAGAATTACGCGATTATAACCAAATTTTGTTTGAAGATTAAGTGTAATCTATATAATTGTGTATATATATACACATATATATAATTGTGTTGAAAGTCGAATTTTAGAATGTACAAAAATTATGTATAATTAAAATTTTTACGTGTATTTTAAAACCAAATTTATACTTGCATAGATTTATGGAGTTTTGAAAGTATTATTGATAGCACAAATATAAAATTGAATAAAACATATTTTTAATGTTATATTGTAGATCTATATATTATATTATTATTATAATATGTACATGCATAGATATAGAGTTGAATTGGAAGTTTTACATTCGTTAACAAAAAAATATGCATTCATGTATTTATCCAAAATACCCATGGGCCATCAAAATTTTAAATTATTGTAGCTTAAAACGAAATTAATTATTAGAAAAAAATTAATGCATAAATCATAGTTTAAAAGTGTTATTGATAGAAATATATAAAAATAATACTACAAAAATAATAATAACGTATATAAATTTAACATTATAATATAAACTGTAATTAGCTGAATTAGTTACTGATTGATTAGTTGTAATTAATGGGTAATTAAACTGGTTACCCTCGTACGTACGAATACTGTAAATGTAATTAATGTAAAACAGCTCTCATTTTTTTCTTTTTCCCAGACTCCACGTTTGCTTTAGTCTCTAAATTTTTCTTTCCGGTTCTCAGAACTCAAACCAGATCATAAGGGATTTCTATAAGTTTGTTTCAAGTTTTTCAAAGTGGTATCATAGCAATATATTTCATAAGTTCTCATCTTATCAATTCTGCAGCTGCTGCTACACATCAATGCTCATGCATACATACATACAACTACTGTATTTGTCTTTTAATAATATAGGCATTAGGATAATATAGGGGAGTATTTAGTAATGCTTAGCTTTTTACAAGTAATGCATTTGTATGTATAGACTGTATATATTTACAGTCGTAGTTATTGAAGAGAGAAAAGAAGATAAAGAGAAGGAAAGAAAATAATTATTTTATTCCAAAAAAAAAAAGTGAAGTCACATCATGCATTGAAGAGTGTACAGAGAAAAAGTGAAGTCACCGTCAAGTAGTGAATGGTGTGTATATATATATATATATACATAGAGACCTGCACAAGCCTTGAAATGCTCAGTCTCTGTTTTTAAAACACCAATTCATATTTCACAGGTCAGACGTCTCTTTTCCTTCTCTTGTCTAAAACTGCAATAAACCCTTTTTTTTTTTTGGCTATATATATATATTTTAAAACACCAATACATGTGACGATTTTTCCTGGCATCTGGGGAAAAGGAAGAGCTGACACATAAAAGAAAAAAAAAAAACTCTATTCTCGTAGATGTTGGCTATATTTATAGGTGAAATTATTGGCAAACTTTTGAACACGCCATCTTTTTTTCGTCTCGAAGACGCCGTCCTCTGCCTCTCGCCTCATCTGTCATTGCCATCTTATAAAGATGAAAATTTAACCCCCTTCCATCAATCACTTTCTCTTCTCTGATCCATTCCCCTGCAAGCCCCAAATCTGATAATTTGAAATACAAAAAAAAAAAACACACCCATTGACCCCCCAGCTATTTCTCTTCAATGATCTTGACACTATAAACTTCCACCGTTAAAACCTTCATTTTTTATACTCGATGATGCCAATTACTTTCTCAACATCCTTCCCTTTCCTCCTATTGGTTCTACTCGCAACTTCAATTTAAAGGTTTTTTATTTTTTTTTTGTCTTCTCGTTTTGTTGTCTTTTTATATTAATTAACTTATTATTGTTTTTTTTTTAAATTTCCTTTTGTGTTGTTTGGTTGCCAAAGGAGTTAGATTTGATGGGTCAATGGTGGATATCGGTGAACTGGAAAGATGGAGAACATGAGGTGGTTGTGGAGATGAGCATTACACATACCTTATCGACGAAATTGACGCTTGAGTACGAGTCTGAGAACATTAAGGAAGCATTAGAGGAGTTGAAGCTCAATACTCCATCTACTTCTCGTGAGAATATAGGATTTCAGGTGCGCGTCATTATGCATGTAAAGTTGACCGTTGATTTTTTTTTTAATTGCAAAATATCTCCTTTTGGCTTATGTGATCATAGTTTTAATTTATTTCAAATTGTTAAGAAGTGATTCTTTTTTTTTTTTCCAGGTAAAAAGCAACTTTAGTTTTTCACAAATGTGAAATGAATAGCTAAAAATGTTTGTTTTCTTATGAAAAATTGTTAATTTGTGATGCAGTAGGAAAATAATATTTTTTATGAAAATATTATTAAATTTATATTAATAAATTAATAATTGATATTTTAAAATTAATTATAATAATAATTTATTTGTACGGCTTTTATATTTATAATATATTGTTAAAATATCATATATTTAAAAGAATATTATTTCTACCATTATGATAATTGTTTTTTTTTTTATTATGTAATCCTTCAGTATTTTATAATTTTATTAGTAATTTTATAATATAATAATTAAATATAATATAAAAATGCATAGTAAAAGTATTTGAATTATAAGTTTTACCAAAGATTAATTATGAAATATTTTTATCTGCTGAAAACGAAAATCACACCAAGTAATTCCGTTATTTCCATTTATGTAATAGAATGACGTCCATGTATGATCAATATTGTGTAATTAAAAGAACATGTACTTCATAGGGAAGGATTAGATTTGATGGGACAATGGTGGATATGGGGGTGAAGTGGGCAAGATGGAGAATGGTGAGATGGTTGTGGAGACAAGCATTACGGGTACCTCGCCTGCAGCATTGACGCTTTGGTGCGGGCTAGAGAGCATCAAGGAAGCTTTGGAGGAGTTGAAACTCAATCCTCCATCTTCTCATTGGATTATAAGATTTCAGGTGCACCTCATTATGCTTATAGAGTTCACAGTTAATTTTTCTTTTTCTTTTTTGCTTTGTGGATATGTGATCATTGTTTTAATTTTGTTTTAAACTAGCAAGAAGTGATTCTTTCTTTTTTAAAGATAAACAGAATCTATTTCAAATAGTTTATGCAGTGACATCAAAGAACATATTAAAATG